GATATGCAAATGGTATGTTCAACTTTTTCCATTTTGTTGAGGCATGTAAGGACATGAAAATCGAATCTAAATACCCTTAGATTGAAAGTTTGTTAGAATATATTGGTTATTGAGCATGACTTATAAAGTCATGACATCCCAAAAATCTCCACTAGTTACAAATATAGAAAAAATCCCAACAGAAGTATATAACAAAAATATAAATATTTTACTAGTGTATACACGTTTAGTTAACTGAGAACGAGTATTACTATATAAAACCACCAAAATGTTGTCTTCCATAAGGCAATCCACTTCCAAATTATGTTATCATTAATGTGTCTTTTCAACTCGATATGCCTTACCTTCTAGTCCTTATCTTTGCTAAGATTCCCATCAATACCTAAACACGAGATGCATGTTGACATCATAAAACAAGTTAGGATCACACCTAAAAAGTACAAGAGTTTGATCATTAAAATCAGTTCAACTATTTCATAAACCATGTATAAAATTAACATAAGAAACTGATTATTAAATAGCTCAATAATAATTAATAAAATTTTATTACACTTGTTATTATCTAAAAATGATAGAAGTATGAATAGGAAAAAATAAGTAGGAGGATATTTAATTTCCCATTTACCGAACTCCATACAGTTGTACTCATGAAACGCAAAGGAACCAAATGTGGTAAAATCAATTAATGAGATAATTTCAATAGCATACACATGAGGGAAAATCATAATGTGTTTTTTTAACGACAAATCTAACATACTTTTAGTTTCACCTATGTCCCAGACGAGACTTGAAGATTTACATTTTATGTCAATCTCGTTTGTTTTGGTTATATTAAACAATAAATTATAATATTATTATTTTACAATAGTTTATTTAATATGAATTTGTTATTTGAAAACATCAAATGATGACCATTCAATAAATCTATCAATGTTTTAATTCTACACCGAATATTGCATTTGGATGCATGTTCTTTGGGACCTCACTGAATCTTAATCACGAACCATAGCAAAGAAGATTAAAATTATGATATAAAATCGAAGATCAGTTGAGAATAAAACCGCATTAAACGTATATTGTTGCAAGAATTCAAATGAATAAATATATCGGAGGTGAGTCGAGATTGTTCATCAATAATTTCAAAGGATATTATATCACATAATATTATTGAAACCCTTAAGTGGAGCAATTTTTATAAAGATATATGGTGTTCATTAAAAGAGATGGAGTTTTTATATAAAATGAGATAAGAAAAATGGTTTGGAATTTTAGATGTTTAAAAAGACTTTAAAGGTCAAATATTGACCCTCTTTTTTACTCTCAACTACTGCTGAAAAATCAGACGTTGACCACTCAACTTTTGCCCTGTACAAGTGTACATGCATGTCTAGACATTTATCAGATTTCTAGACAAAATAGTGAAATACTGATTTCGACCATCAAAGTTTTTGGAACTCATACTTCCAAGTTTGGTCTTTTTGAAAATGTGGCTAGCAAATCTAATTATCTATTTTATTTATTTATTTGTTTTTAATAATTTATCTAATACATTGAGTTGAGACTAACAATCCCCCCCTATATATGATGGCATAGCAAAGATTAAAAAAAAAATGAACTACAAGTAAAGAAAAGAATCAGAACAAAGAACTGAAACGAATGTCTCTTTGGAGATCTTTTTGTGAAACTTAATTTTAAAATTTTCACATATCTACTTTTTTTTTGATAAAATTTGTACATGTATGTACAAAGTACCTTGTGATTGCAAGTTGGTTGAGTGTTTTCTTTAGATATAAGGAAAGGAGTGTTTTTGATGCTCTAACTTAGAAGTTTAGTTTCTTCTATAGTTGTCTCTCCCTCAAATGTTGCAAATTCCTTTCTTTTCTTGACAACATCAATAAATATTTTAGCTTATTTGAGGTCATCTCTTGTTAATGACTAACAACACCTTCTAATATACGGGTGTTGATACTTGATACTCATCAAGCATCGTCTAAAGTCTAAACCAACACATACTGAATGATTATGTGCTCTTGAGTAGTTGAGTGGCAACCAAAATGATGTGGGAGCTTCTCTATCAGATAATATAGATGTGGTGCTAGACATCACTAGGATGAACTCTATAATAAGATAATATAGAGTACATTCAAGAATGTCGATTTGATGCATTATGTTTCGTTGAATCATCTTGTTTAGAACCGAGCTCATTTTGTGTACCAAATAAGAGAAGAGCAAGGACAAAATAAAAGTGAGTATTTTAGTTGTGTTGGATTTTACATACTAAAATGCTAGTTGTATCACTTGTATGGATTTTACGAACCAGACGTCTCTTTCGTATAAACTGAAAATAAGTAAGTTGATAAGGGGACGGATTAAGAAGATAATATATATATTAGTAATGAACTAGGTAGTTTAACGTCACATCCTAATAAAATGATCAAATACAAATTTATCTTATATTGTTTCATCCATCCTAAAAGTCACCAAGTACCCGCTCCGCCCAATTTTTAATTAATTTATATATTTAGGCGAGTATCATACTACTATACGTTATTAAAACAAGACAGTAGAAAAACGTGTATGACTAAAATTGTTACAAATGTAATTGAGATGTTTTGAATTTTTGATAGGATGACTTTTAGAAACCCTTTGTGGAATATCAACCCGTTTTAAACGTATATGGCAAACTACCAATAGTCAATAGTCGTGCTTCTAGATCCCTCTAATTCTATATACTTATACCATAGACCACCAACGTTTCTTCCCCCTAAAGTTGGGACTCTTCTCTCTTTTTTCCGATTTAATTAATGCATCACCCCAATCGCACTTTAGTTCTATGATCACCCTCTTTGAATTCAAATCTATAACTAGTTATTTATAAAAATTTGATTTTCAACGAGATTTTATAGCTTGTTTGTTTTTAACTTGAGAATATACTTCAATTTGATAAGTAACATACTATTTTCTTTGATAATAACAAAACTACTTAGTCTTCAAGTTTTTAAAATATATAAACTTGAAAAGTGTTTCATACAAACCATTTTTTTCATATATAATAAGTTATGCTTTATAGAGTTGTATAATACAACATTTTAAAACACAAATTATTATATATAAAGAAAATTTGTTGTTAGTAATTTTTTTTTTCATTATGCTTATTTTTGTACAATTCTATCATTATTATTTTTTTTTTCAAAAAAAACCCATAAATTTATATTTTATTAAAAATTTAATTTAACAATATATATTGTATTAATATATGAAATAAAAACTTACCATGATTAGTTTTATTATTTTGCTTATTTTATTACGTTTTTCCCCTTATTTATTTTCATATACTAGCCGTCTATCCGCGCAATGCGACGGACGACAATAACTTTGTTTCAGCAATTAGTTTCATTTCGGTGAATAGTTTCTAAACGAAAGTTAAAAACTTCAATAAATAGATTTCTTGCGACGATTTTTTTCATTGCGGAAACATGTAAAAATCCATAAATAACACAATGAAGTAGACGATGATTGTGCATTGTTGGGTTAAAAATAAAAGTTTATTGTTATCTTTCGTTGAAAATAAAGGTACGATTTTTTGTTTCAAACTATTTTGCATGTTGTTTTCGTTTAACATATAAGTTGCATTATTATTTTGTGTTAAAAATAAAACTATATCATTGTTTTGGGTAAAAAGCATGTAGGTAGTTTCTTATTAAAAATCAAAATATGTCCATATTTTCAAGTTTTTTTTAAAAAAAAAATAAGGCAAATTACACATCTAGTCCTTTTATAGAATTTTTTATATTATCTACATTTTTCTATTTTCTTTGTGGTATACATATTAAGTTATAATATGGAGCCTTTGTATTTAATAATTTATTGGGTATTAATCACTATAGTAGTATTAAAATAGTTGGTTTCCAGTCAATTTAAAATAGACATGTTTGATTTTTATTGTCAAGAATTATTAATTATTAATCATTGAGTTTGTTTTTATTTAAGACTTACTTTCTTATTTTGTCAAATACTTTCAAATATAAAGATAATAATAAAAAACATGTAAAATGCATAGTTTTATTTTCTTCATATTGAAAGTATTTTTGATAATTCTTATTTTCATATTTGATATAAATGACGTGTATATATGTATAATAATGCTTATTACCATTTTATTTAGAAAGTAAAAGTTTTAAATTTCAAAAAAAACAATGAATAACTTTGTCTCGGTCAATTTCACTTTATATTAATAATCTATATCAATAACTAACTTGTATTTTTGTGTATTTTGTATAATAAAGATAAATATTATAATCAATATTATTTGACATAATTTAATTTATTATCCACGTATTAACCTCAATAATAAAAGCGGAATTGTAACCTTCAATTTTAAATTTTGAATCACGTCTAGCATTTCCAATATTCCACAATATATGAGACACGTTTTTTATTTGGTATAATAGATAAGGATTTATTAATTTTATTTTACGCATAATATATTTTTAATTTGAATCTTTGCCTATCTTTTCCACCTAAATAAGGTTAAGTTATAAATTTTATATTATTTTATTGGTTGTTATTTATAGTATTGGCTAAATGGTTTGTTAAAAAAATAATATTATTATATTGAAGTTATCATTAGAAATAGTAATTTCCTTTATAATTAATATATTATAGATAATAAGTAGAAATAATAATATTTAAATTAGGCAAGTTATGGGCAAGTGATAAAGCATAAAAAGTAGTGCTGCGTTTGATATGTTGACTCTTAAGTTGTGATAGCATATCCTTTTCGATCCAGTGATCATTAATTGCCCATTTCTATGGAATTCAATTGTTTATACATGATAAACCAAAAATCTATCGACAACAAAATTACAGGATTCTTTAAAGCAGTAACATTTCATAAACATCCGAATCGATCACAAAGGATTCTTTATTTACTAGTCAAGATTCTTCAATTCTCATATATGGGGAAGAAGAATCATCTTGATTGATTCATACAAGAAAACAAGAAGAAGATATAAGAGACTATCTACATATAAGAAAGGTGGCCTAGAAGAGTTCTCGGGCTACAAAACACTCATCGAACTTCCACTCTTTTCTGTTAGTAGTAGTAGTACTGCTGCTAGGACAACAGGGTTTTCTTCTCAGCTCAGATCCGCCATTGATCGAGTTTCACCTCCACTTACAACCCATGGATGCCCTGCAGTTAATTCCAAACAGAATGTTTAGATTTTGCCCAAGAACAGTCCCTGGTTAATCTTTCAATCTAGCGTCTAAATCGTGTTTGATTGATTTAAGTTTAATAATTCTAGAAAAACTGTAGGAGAATTAACCCTAATTTTCCAGGACTTCAAAGCTCCAACATCAGAAGAGGATCTTAGAAAAGAATTATTTAAGCTTCCATAATTGAATTTATTATTTAAAAGCAAAGATGAGAAGGAATTTAGGACTTACTTGAAACTTGTTCAGCAGAAATTCGTCTAGATACATCCTTGCATAACATCTTTCTTAACAGATCCTTGGCTTCCGGAGAAACAGACCTGAAAATCCTCGTCGGAAACCGCAAATTACTTCTCAGTACTGCTTCGAACGTCTCCGCTGGCGTTTCTCCGTAGAATGGAGGCACTCCGGCCAACATTATGTACAAAATAACACCAGCACTCCATACATCGACCTTCTCATTATACTCCCTACCGGACAAAATCTCCGGCGCAACATAGTACGGCGTGCCAACAACTCCGGTCATCGTCCTCCGCTCATTCATCCCAAACCACTCAGCCGATCCGAAGTCTGCCAGCTTCAGCATTCCTCTCGAATCAAACAAAACATTATCCGGCTTGATATCGCGATGCGCAATGCCTGAACGATGACAATAACTAATCGCTGAAATCAAAGGAGAAAACACAGAAAACGCTTCCGACTCCGAAAACACACCGCCGTGATTCGAGATGCGGTCGAAGAGATCCGGCGAGTCGCAGAGGTCCATAACCATATGGAGGAAATTATCGTCCTCGTAGAGAGCGTGGATTTGGACTATGTGAGGGTTTCCACCAAGGAGGTGAAGAACTTTGGGTTCTTTATCGATGCATTCGCGATCTGTGGTATCCGATAGGAGCCGTTTGTCGATGGACTTACAGGCGAAAGAGTCACCGGTTCCGGCAGAGAAACACCGGTGGACGACGCCGAACCGACCTCGGCCGAGTTCTTCGAAGAGTTGATATTGTTTGTTTAAGTTTTCGCACATGATAGATTTTGGTTAATCAGTTGAGTTGGTTTCAGGGAAAAAACGTAAAGAGGGGGTTTTAAAGGGTTTACAACAGAATATTCTAATTCCAGAAGGATTCTCTTCTATTTTTTCAAAGTAAAAGAACGCTACCGGTTTGCTCACCATAAATAAAAACTATTTTGTTTTCTTAGGTTTGATTTTTGGGTGCATTGTAGTAAATAAATTAATATAATTATTTATGTAACACAAGAAATGGCTAGCTAACGGTTGCCTTCCGTAGCTATGTAATGACTTCTTTTATCATAATATTAATGGTCAGAGTTCTCACATAAATTAAATTTGCTTAAACTATCATTTTAACAAATTTAGCATCTTCAGTAATTGAGATATACACGATTTAAAGTATTTATCAACTTATCATTCTATAAAATTTAGCCTATAAAAATGATATTTCTAATGATAAACCCTTCCAATAGTTTTTTTTTTCTTAAATTAACTAAATTATCCTTATTTATCTAAAATATCCTATTAAAAACACTCTCATTTAATTATTTTTTTAAACATACATTATACCTAAAACGTCACAATAAATGAAAATATTATGTAAATGTTATAAAATTTATATTTTATAAATGAAATGTCATTAAATATTTAATAAAAGTAATTAATTAGTAAATAAATAACAATGATTTAAAACTAAAATATGATTAGGGAAATGAAATAATATATGATTATGTTAGATGAACTAAGCATTGAATTATATTGACCATTTAATAATATATATTGAGTGGCTAATAAAAAAGATAAAAAAAAAACTATATGCTTCAATGGTAATAAGTGTTTAACATAAAAAAAAAAGTTAATAGCAATAAGTTCTAAAAAAGCTTCGTTATAAATGGTCTTATAATTTTTAAAATTTTATATTTCCTTTAAATATATATATTTTATTAATTATAAAGAAGTGAGTCTTGGTGTTATTTTACCTCCTTTATTTATTTTCTTAGATATCTCTTTTATTAATTAAAAAAAATTAATACTAAACCCAACGGGTTCAACTTAATGCTATTAGGAGTTGACGGAAAAACGTCACCAGCCAAATTTTCAGAGTTCAAGTGTCATTACTTATGAAATGTGTAAAATTAGGTGAATGATAATTGTAAAAAAAAAACAAAAAAAAAAAACAAAATTATTATATGAAATTTTGAAGAATTTATAGATTTATATTTTTTTTGACAAAATTATATAAATGGTCCTTGTGGTTGACACAACTGACCAACACTCGTCCTAATGACAAATTTTGTGCATAGATAATTCATACGATTTTAAAATTTTGCAAAGACAGTTCTTTTTTACTAACGGGGTTAACTTTTTTAGTTAAGTCTCGTGTGAAATGACACATTTGTCCTTCATACCATAGGAACCATTTATGTACTTTGTTTCAGCCAAAGGAACCATTTATGTAACTTCATCTTTTATTTATTATTATTTTTATTTAATTTATTTATATTATTATGATTTAGATTTTGTTTTTTTGACATTTTGTTCGAATATATATATATATATATATATATATATATATATATATATATATATATATATATATATATTTTGATATTTTGTTCGTATAATTTTTTCTAATTTTTTGATGTTTTTTCGAATACATTTATTAATATTTCTTTTGACTTTTTGTTTGAATAATTTCTTCTAATTTGTTTTGACTTTTTGTTCGAATATATTTTTTTAATGTTTTTTCTACATTTTGTTTGTTTGTATTTATTAAAGATTTCATGGTCACTATAATCATAATTCCTAACTTAATTCACTTACAATCATATTTTTCTCTTTTTGTTTTTAATATAGATAAGATTTTATAAGTATTATTTTATAATTCAAATATATAACTATATAACACATACAAAGTTGTATAATTATTAATTTTGTAAAGCTTTTTATAAACATTTTTAATAAAAAAATGTAAAAAAAAATTGTTAAACGTGAATATGATTAATATAAATTAGGTACACATATGCTAACCTAAGACTGTCTCGTAGTCTTGACTAGAGCGTCCATGTCATTTCACATTGGACTTAACTTTAGTATTTTTCAGTATTTAATTCTTTTAGACATTTTTTTCTTCGATTAGACTATATGTTCCGATTAGTCTATCTATATTAATCATATTCACATTTAACAAAGTTGTTTATATATTTAAAAAAAATTATAAAAAGGTTTACAAAAATAATAATTATACAACATTATATGTGTTATATAGTTATATATTTGAATTAAAAAATAATAATTGTATAACCTTATATATATTAAAAAAAACAAAAAAAGAAAAAGAAAAATATGATTGTAAGTTAATTAAGTTACAAATTATGACTATTGTGACCATGAAATCTTTAACAAATATAAACAAACAAAATGTAAAAAATCATTAAAAAAATATATTTGAAAAAAAACGTCAAAAAAAAAAAGAAGAGATTATTCAAGCAAAAAGTCGGAAGGAATATTAATAAATGTATTCGAATAAAACATCAAAAAAGTTAGAAAAAGTATACGAACAAAAATATCAAAAAATGCAAGCGAAGAATATAAAAAAACATCAATAATATATATTTGAACAAAACGTCAAAAAAATTCTAAATCATAGAAGTATAAATAAATTAAATAAAAAAATAAATAATAGACAAAGTTACATAAATTGTAACATCCCAAAAATCTCAGATAAAATTTTGCATTTTAAATTCATTTTAATCATACGATAATCACAACAAAACAGTCAAGAGTATAACATAGTAAAATTTTATCAGAGTACAAAATCTTAAAATCACATGATGCGGAAAAACATAGGTGAATACAGTGAGATCAGACTTGACCCTTACCTTTTCGAGTTGGAAGTACCTGAAACATAAACTGAAAACTGTAAGCACAAAGCTTAGCGAGTTCCCCCAAAATACCACATACCATACATATATAATAGTAAAAAACATAGTGAGTCTATTTAACCCCCTTCGGTATCTTTCAACCAGCACTGGGTCTACTTCACCTCCTTCAGTATCTTTCAACCAGTATTGGGTTTATTTTACCCCCTTCGGTATCTTTCAGCTGGTATCGGGTCTATTTCACCCATACCACTAACACATATAATCATAACAATAAGAGTCACAGAGACATAAAGCAGATACATGCATAACAGGAGATTGTCACAAAGACAATCTTCATACTAAAAAAAATCTAGTGGGATGACATTGGTGCCTTCGACCTATGGTTATAGTGAAGGATGCTCACCTCAGACTGAAGGTATCAAATCACACTCGAGTTGCTGACTCGCGAGATCCTCACACTCTAAATCACGAGAAATAAAACCCTAATTAGAAATTAGGTCAATAACCCAACTCGAGAGTCCAAACCCTAATTCCCGGCTTTCAAAAAAATAACTACATAATCCTTGTTTTATTGGGCCTAACCCACCAAGGCCCGGTTACACTTAGTCTCAAGACCCAAAAGGTATACCATGACCAAAATGGTCCAAGTCCAAAGGCCCATCACAGAAAACCCACCACCCATCAAGGGCCCAAAGTCTCTAATTCCCAAAATAGCCCGAAATAAGCCCAAGTCTTCCCTCTGGTGAGTAAGCTCAGCGTACCCTCAGAGTACGCCCGACGTACTCAAAACCCTCGAAGCATCGGGACTTTCGGCACGTACGTGCAACGTACATATACGTATGCCCTGTGTACGCCCCAGATGACCAACTTCCATTTTTGAGGTCTTAATCGGTTAAGAAATAACGTTCAACTTCATATCTAGGCTCCTTAAAATGTAGTAAGCCATAAAGTTGACAACTTTATGCTTTTGCATGACCTAAAAAGGTCAAATCTTGGACTTTATCACACTATCTTCACGAAACAACCTTCAACCTTTGCATGGTTGAGCTTAATCCATCAAGACAACATTTTTATGCTCAATGGACCTTAGAAACACTAGGATCTATCATAACAACCTTTCAGAGTAGCTCATACTCTCAAGAAACACCTTAGGGACCATTTTATGAAAGAATAAGCCTTAAACTAGAAACTAGCACATGGAGTCAACAAGGTAGAAGCTTTTTACCTCCAATAAGCTAGATATGATGAGAAACCTCTGGATATAAAAGCTCTTTCTAGTCCAATGCTTCTTCATAATTCTTCTTCTTCTTCTCTAAGCACCACACACACCCAAAACACACACAAGCTCAAACTTTAGGGAAAATGGATTAGGGTTCGATATATAGCTCAAGAAGGCAATGGAGGCTGAGTTGCTAAAGAATTTGAGGGAATAAAAGTGCTTAAATAGGGTGCAAACCCTAAAATTAGGGTTTGCCCCTGACTTGCGTACGCCGTGCATACGCATGGGTACACCCAACGTACGCAAGGGACACTTCTGATTCGCGCATGCATGGGAGTACACGGTGCATACCTTGTGTACGCCCAGCATACTCCGGTCTAGTCCATGTATAATAAAAATAATGGCAAAAGAGGTTTACCTGATGATTCGGGCGTTACAATTCTCCCCCACTTGAATCAGACTTCTTCCTCGAAGTCCAATGCCGAAAATAACTCTGGGTAATGCTCCCTCATCTCTTCCTCAGGCTCCAAAGTCTACTCTGAACCATTCCGTTGCTGCCACTACACGTTCACCAATCCCACAACCTTGTTCCTCAAAATTTTCGTCTTCCGGTCAAGGATTGCCACCGGTCTCTCAATGTAGTTCAGGCAGTCATCCACCTGAATATCCTCTAATGAAACTCTTGTTGAAACATCGACCAAACACTTCTGCAATTGAGAGATGTGAAAAGTATTGTGAATCTGACTGAGCTCCTCCAGAAGATCTAATTGATACGTTACTTTCCCCACCCGGGCTGCAACCATGAAAGGACCAATATACATGGGGCCCAGCTTACACCGCTTCCTGAACCGGATGACACTTTTCCAAGGTGACACCTTCAAGAGTACCATATCCCCGACCTGGAACTCCAAGTCTATACGACGTCTGTCTGCGCAG